GCGACCTAGTGATCCTGGTGAAAGGTCCCGCCGGCTGGAGTTCCCCCCAGAGAGGGGACACGGGGATCCCAGGAGAGGGGACAGTGGGGGCTCCCAGGAGAGGGGAGAGTGAGGGTTGCCCCAGGAGAGGGGGGGAGTCCCAGGAGAGGGGAGAGTCGGGGCTCCCGGGAGAGGGGAGAATGCGGGTTCTCCCAGGAGAAGGGAGGAGGGGTTACCAGAAGAGGGGACCGTGGTGACTGTCCCAGGAGATGGGTTCCCCCAAAAGAGGCGAGAGTGGGGGCTTCCCAGAGAAGAGAGAGTGGGAACTCCCAGGAGAAGGAGAGAAGGGGTTGTCCCAGGAGAGAGGAGAGTGGGGGTTCCCAGGAGAAGGGACAGTGGGAGCTCTCAGGAGAGGGGAGATGGTGTGTGGGGAGTGTGGAGGGGTGGGGGGTTGTCTCGGGAGGGGAGAGTGGGGGTTGTCCCAGGAAAGATGGGATAGTGGGGTTTCCCAGGAGAAAGGGGAGTGAGGACTTCCAATAGAGAGGAGTGTGGGGGCTCCCAGGAGAGGGGAGAGAGGGAGCTCTCTTGTTCCTCTGACCTCCGGCATCTTGCTGGCACCTTCAGTCTTCTCTGCTTTCCCCTTCTCTCCTTTTAGCTTCTCCTCCTCCTCCCTCAGACTCCTTTCCAACCACCGCATTCAGACTTGAGAAAGTCCCATGTAGAAACCAAGAACACCCCAAACCTTCCAAGAGATGAAGTGCTTTGTTTGATCACTTTTTGAGAGAAGGTGTCAAATGAGATAACAGGAGACTAGAAAACAAATAGTAAATTACTCCAGCACTCGACAACATGAGGGCTCTCTGCTCCTTTGATTACATTTCTCAGTGCTGCAGTGCAGAGGACAGAGCAGAGTCTCTGAGCTCCAGGGGGTAGGGAGCACTGCCATCCACCAACCCTATGACCCCAGAAAGTCATCTTCACTCCAGCTTTTGTTTCCAACAGTGTGAAATGGAGCTCTCCCAGGTCTGAAATTCTGCTGCTGACTTACCTATAGTGATCAATGAAACACTGTGTGTTGGTTGTGGACAGGGAAGCTTTTCCCACTTCTGTCTTTGTGCAGATATTTATTTTGAGTGTTTATTCTTTTGAAAACGTTTTAAAGATGCCTTTAAAATATGTAGTGGGAATCATAGGAAAGAGGCAAAAATGGGGAAAAGAGGAAAGGTCAGGGCCCAGCTGGCCCCAGTTTCCAGGATCTTTCAGATAAGTTGAAAATCTTCTGGATATTACCAGAATCTACAGTTAGCTATCTGGGGCCTCTGGTACCCAACGCCAAATAAGCCCAAAGAAAGAGGGAGTGGAAGTCTGAGTGGTCTCCCGAAGCAGGGAAAATAAGACACAAAGCTCCTAGACAGTAGTTTCCTAATCCTCTGTAAGTAAAGACTGTGTGTACCATGCGTGAAGCCAGTCCCAAGCTGCTTCCAAGGGAGGTCAGGCTTGCTGGCTTGCCAAGGAAGGTAATGTTGACCATAGGGTAGGCTCTGGATAAATAGAGAGGAAAGGAGGAGTCAGTGGGGGTGCTCTTCTGCAAAAACTTGTTGAAAACAAGCTGGACAAAGTGGTTCATGCCTGTAATCCAAGCATTTGGGGAGCTGAGGTGGGGGGATTACTTGAGTGCAGGAGTTTAAGGCCAGCCTGGGCAAAGTGACCTCATTTCTTCAAAAAAATCAAAAAATTAGCCGGATGTGGTGGCATGTGCCTGTAGTCCCAGCTACTTAGGAGATGTAGACAGGGGAATCCCCTGAGCCCAGGATTTCAAGATTTCAGTGAGTGTTGATTGTGCCACTGTACTCCAGCCTGAGTGACAGAGTGAAACCCTGCCTAAGTAGGTAAATAAATAACAAATAAATAAATAAGGCAAGTAAGTATCATGTGTAAAGGCAAGGTAGTTGATGAAAACAGGGTGCATATATAGCAATGCATTCTTTTGACCTGACTGACTGGGCAACTGGGTTATGGGAAAGAGAGATAGGGCAAGAAGTTGGTAAGAACTAAGGCTGTAGAAGACAAATGAACAGCAGTCTTGAAAATCTATTCTAGCTATGAACTCATGTCATCACCTGTGTAGTGCTTTACAGACTGTAAAGAACTGTCACAGAAATGCCACATTTAATCTGACAGAAGATACAGTTTTATAAATGATTGAATGTGAAGACAAAATTTTTTTTTTGAGTTGGAGTCTCACTGTCGCCTGGACTGGAGTGGAGTGGCCGCTCCTGGCCACCGCAGCCTCGACCTGCTGGGCTCCAGTGATCCTTCCGCCTCAGCCTTCCAAGTAGCTGGAACTATAGGCGCATGCTACCACGCCTGGCTAATTTTTTTGATTTATTGTAGAGATGAGGTCTTGCCTGTCCAGGCAGGTCTCGAACCCGCGGGCACAGGCAATTCACTCACCTCAGTCTCCCAAAGGCACAGGATTACAGGATGAGCCACCGAGCCCAGCACAAATGCTTTTTATAGATAACTGGAAGTTTAAGAACATGAGCTGAGTGTGTTGGCTCACACCTGTAATACCAGCACTTTGGGATGTCGAGGTGGGAGGATCGCTTGAGACCAGGTGTTTAAGACCAGCCTGGGCAACATAGTGAGACTCTGTCTCTACACACAAAAAAAAAAGAAGGGAAAAAGTCAGGCATGATGATGCAGTCCTGTAGTCCCAGGAGGACTGCTTGAGCCCAGAAGTTCAAGGCTGCAGCAAACTATGATTACACCACCGTGTTCCAGCCTGGGTGATAGAGTAAGGCTGTCTCTAAAGACAGACAGAAGGGTAGGGGGAGAATGGGTAGCAGGTTCAGTGTCGGTACCAACTGATTGTCATGAGGCAGCTGTAAGGAGAGGTAATTTTAGGGGTAAGAAGCTTAGACCAACTTTTAAAGTTTTGGAACTATTTGGAGAGAATGATGTTATCTAGATAGAGAGCAACCTTAGGAAACTGCACATAACATGCTAAGAATGCAAGAAATTAGAACTAGAAGGTATTTGGCAGTCGGTGATATAGATATGATATAAGGGACATGCTTTACATGGTGGAGTGAGTATATTGGGACTAGAAAAGGGGTTAAAGGTCAAACCGTAGGAGTTTCAGAGTCATGGTATGGGAAGGATGGCCTTGGTAAAAGTAGAGTTAGAAAAAGAAACAGTAGCATTTAAGAATATGATTAAAGAAGGGTTGGGTCCTGACCAGTGTCAAGTTTGGAATAAATGTCAAGAGGATAAAAACAAATGCAATCTTACTGAATCTGGCTCTAACACTAATGGTGATCTTAGGGAGTGCAGCTATGGTGGTTATTAGATTGTGAGGCTGAGGACTAAGCAGAGATTGAGAGTGTCTGGGATGGTAGTATAAAAAATCTGTTTAAAAAGCATGAGTATAAAAGGGGGCATTATTCCTTGCTAATTCTAAGGAAAGTCCACTGCCAACTGGTTCATCCACAACACTTACCCCACTCCCACCCATGAATCATTCTCCATGGTTCTATCTGTAGAGGTTTTAAAACATAATTGCAAACCAAAATCATTTCTTTCATCACAAGGTGAGGGTCCATGTGCCGTCCTGGGTAGACTTGTGAATACTTTGTCCAGTAGAATAAGACAGAACTGATGCTGTGTGGTTTCTGAGGCTAGATTGTAAAAATCCTTATAGTATCTGCTTTATTTACAACAACTTTTGCACTAGGAGTCCTGGGCCACCATGTAAAAAATCAAACTTCTCTGAAGCTGCTGTACTGGAAAGGCCTCACGTAGCCAAGGCACCAGACACGAGGGCATATTTATCTTGGACCCTTTATCTAAATAAGCCCATCTGCCAGTTAAATACCATCTAGTAATCTCCATCCATATCAAGAGAACAGAAGAATCACTCAGCTGAGCCCTGCCCACCTTCTCGACCCATAAACTGGTGAGATATAAAAAAATGGTTGTTGTTTTAAGGTGGCAAAAGATACCTGGAACACAAACTTTATGTTTAAGAAGTTGGGTGTGGCATGTATTCTCCCTTTGCCCCTTCCTTCAAAACCACCTTTATTATGAGGAGTTGGATGCCGTGGGTGGCAACAGAGATTTTGAATTTGGAATATAAAAAGAAGTCACAGACCATGTGCAGTAGCTCACTCCCATAATCCAAGAACTTTGAAAGGCTGAGGCAGGAGAACTGCTTGAGCATAGGAGTTTGAGACCAGCCTGAGCAACACAGTGAGAACCCATCTCTACAAAAAGTAAAAAAATTAGTCAGTCATGATGTTGTGGACCTGAAGTCTTAGCTACTCTGGAGGCTGAGGTGGGAGGGTTGCTTAAGGCCAGGAGTTTAAGGCTGCAGTGAGTAATCATAGCACCACTACACTCCCGCCAGAGCAATAGAGCAAGACCCCATCTTAAAAAAAAA